TGATTAAAATCTACATCAATCCTGCTCTACTGCTTTCTGTCCAGGCCACCCATCACAGATAAGCGTCAACATAATTAGTGTTGTAGAGCATGAAGCTAGGAAACCATTTAAAGTGTTCCTTGCAATTATATGCACTGCTTTCCCCTTCTGAAGTCCAATTTCACTGAAAAAGCTTTTGCTTTACTGAAGACAATAGTTCAAATAAATACTGAAGCTTTTGCTTTACTGAAGATAACAGTGCAAACTCCTAACACAGTTTCATCTCCTATTAAACAGATTCTCTCTGAAACCTAGAACATCCTCAGTTCTTAAGCCCTCACCAGCTTTAGCTGCATATCCCCAAGGTATAGGCAATGTTGCTTTAGGGCAGCCTTCCCCAACCTAGTGCTGTCCCAACACAACTTTGGACTGCAAAACCCTGAATTCCCAAGTCATTGACCCTGCTGGATGGGAATTCTGGGAGATGCGGTCCAAAAGCCCCTAAAGGGGACCAGGTTGGGGAAGGCTGCTTTAGGGTATAATGTTATGCATGTTTAGTTGGGTAGAGGAGAGACCTACAACATCCAGCAATCCCCAACAAGCCATACATGAAGCTCTAGGGCTTCTCTGATCCTCACATGCAGAGGATTGCACCTTTAGTGTTTTAACATCTAGAACTAGAATTGAATTGTCATGGTTGGGTCCAGATCCTGCATTCTACCAACACAAGACACAGCTTGTACAGTCAGACTCCCCTTCTCAAATCTTGGAAGTTGATCAATAGCACACGGAGCTGAGGGAAAAGACTACAACAGAGACAGGATACAGATATCCCTTTTCCCATGCAATGTTCTTCCACTGGCTGAATAATGGATCTGGAACCTTTATATGATTCATCTCAGAAATTCCATTTTATTAAGAAAACCATAGACATATTTCACATGGACATGAACCTATTTCACAGAAAACTCCTTCCACTAGATGCTTACATACATTTGTGTATGTAAACATCTTCTCCTCAGAGCTCTGTAGATTATGTATTCCAACCTTGAATAAATCCATTAAGCTACATGCACTTTTTCTGCAAAAGAATCCTCAGTTAAACAGCCATTTAAAAACCTATACTGCATTGTAGGACAACACATTGCCTATGTTATTGCTTCTCTAAAATGAAGACAGTTTTGCAAGGTATTGAAGCCATTTGCAAATTGGTTTCTTCTTCCATTTCAACATGCATGAAATAAGCTGAACCTTCCCGAGTGACTACCAGGTATGATAGAATATGTTTTATGCAGCTAAAGCTGAACTCTACATTATTATGTACAAAGATATGTATGATACATGGCCAGCAGACCATGCACCAGCTCTTCAGAGTTTTAGAGTGAGGCCCAAGGCCCATGTTTGAAACCACAGAGAATTTCAAGTCAACTGAAATTTTTAAGACAACTGAAAGCAGAAGCTTTCCTATCCTATTTATTTCACTTCTGTATCTAGCAGCATCTAATGTCACTGCTTTTGAGATACTAGTGCAGCTTTTTGAAAACAGGGAGAAACACTGGGTCATTGGTACTGTTCAATAACCTTACTTTTTAGTAAGATTGGCCCACTAAGTTTTTTGAGTTGTTGTTGCTGCTTGCCAATCAACTGCAGGTAGGGGCAGGCTGGAGCTGATCTCTGTGTTATGGAAGTACCATGTCCAAATAAACGTAGTCCAATGCAAATCTAGAAAGAGTTCAGTCCTTCACCACTTATAAAACTTCAAACAAAAATGATTAAAGCATACACATATCCTAAGATATAACAACATTTTGATATAAGCTCCAATGCCTCACTCAAATTGAAACTAATACATTATCGGCCACAAATACCCAGCAAGACATCAGCTGTATAGGTGGTACACATCCAGAACATTGATGTGCCAAATATCCTATTTTTGTCCTCTTCAGTGGAAGAAAACAGAGCTTTGTATGCATAGCAACTAATACTGAACTGTTTCCTGTGTTGGTAGACACACTGAATGAATGGAATAATTCATCACAGAACAAACAAGGAAGATATTTGATTATTATGGCATGGAACATTATCCCAGGTATATTTAAGCTTGTATTTTTCAATTTTTTTATTTCCATGTAGGAATTTGAGTATGATGTCAATTTAGTAAAGGCTAACATTATTATTCATATCTGGATTTTTTCCTATTGAAAAGCAGCAAATAGAATGAAATGTGTTCAGAATATCAGTATTATGAATATCTCTGTATCTGATATAGTGTTGGGTATTTATGACTGCTAATTCAAGGATTTCTATTTGGGAGAATGAGATTGGCATTTAAAGTTTTGGTTTAGTTTCGTTTGCTTCCCTCTTAAGTTTTTGGTTGTGGTACAGTCTAAATCCTAATTCTAAACCTAACCCAAGTTCAGAAATATAGTGCTTAATTTTCAGCACAGATACAACCTACATGCTTTATTGACTGAGAATTTACAGAAACCAGTGGGGTGGTTTATAAGTCTCCTTGGGGCAGCTTATAAGCCACCTCATGTACCCATGGTTTGTTCTAGGGTTTAGGAAAATTCTCTATGATTTAGCATGCCATCTGAACCTGGGAAACATGCTAAGCTATGGTCAAGTCAAAAATTAAGAGTCCTGGACCAGAGTGGTAAAAAAGGAGTGCCACGCTGGTCAAGGAGCTCTAACTGATGACAGCTGGCCGCAACTTTGCACAGCTGCTATCAGTTTTCCCCACATTCAGGCAGATGCTGAACAGAAAGTAGGATGGGTGCCACATCTCAGACCCTATTTGGGCCCTGGGGTGGCAATAAGCAGCGAAAGAACCAGTTATTCAGTTTTGCTTCTTTGCAAGGTAGTGAGGTCAAGGAAGTTGAGTGTTTAGGGTAGAGGAAATACTGCTGTCTGAGAATGCTCTTCCTGAGAGTATCAAGGGCTATAGAAGTACTCACTCACAGCACAACTTTAATAAAAGAGTCTCCAAATCCATGATTGTCACACATGGGAATAAATACTTACTTCCAGAAAACTATGTGCTTGTGCAAGAGTTCAAAAAACTTCATTAAAGCCTCAAAAATGCTGCCATGCCACATAAAATCTAAAACCAAACTAAGAATATTCAAAACCAGAAAATAGAGAAGCTGGAATGATTTCTGTCAATGTCCTTCTACAAAATAGAAAAGGTGAAGCAACTATGAGTTTGACTAAAGTAGCTTCTCATACGTTTCCCCCAACTCCTAAGGAGAAGTTTACCGCTCTCCGTTTTCATATGCTCACCAGCGCAATTTCTGTCCTTAAGGTTCCTTCAGAAAAACTGAACTGTGGTAGTGTGGGGTTTTTTTAGTCCTCCATGTTTCTGTTATGTTCATATACACAAGCATCATCCTACCAACACAGGAAGAACGACTAAAATTTTCATTCAATGCTCCTCGCTTCTGCAACTTTTTTTTTTTAATGTTGGCTTAATCTGATTCTTTTTTCTACTTCCTTTGTCACCCATATTTACAGTATTTTTTTAGTTGTAATAGTTCTGTAAGATATAATACCTGGTTTGAAAGATCTCAACATTGACACAAGTAAGAGGTGTGCATCAATAAGCCACAGAAATGCTATCACCATTGTGTGGAGGAAGATCCAATTAAATCTACACATGAATATACCAACAGGTAATACTGCCTGAATGTTGGACTCCTTTTCTTCATGCACTGGTTACTCTTTAAAGTACAGGTAGAACAATACCAGACTCAATTTTCCTGTTATTAATATTTCAACTATATTTTGGCACTGTAGTTAAAAGAAACTCTTTTGCACAGCATGTCCTGACTGTTTGCCTAAAAGGCCACTGCCAATGTTTTCAGATTTGCTGTACTTCCTACAGGACATCTGTCAGTATTATAACTCAGCTTAGGAGAACAGATTTCTATGCAAGAAATATGTAACTCTCTCCCCTCCTCTCCACATGTTTCTTATCTTAGACTACATGAAGATATTTTGTGCACAAGATAGTACTCTCAGAACCAGATACCCCACAGTGGCTCAATTCAAACATTACAGTACATCAAACAATAATTTACTACTTGGCCACAGTATGATCTTTCAGAAGCACAGAAGTCCATGATTTTAAAGCTGCCTTTAAAAAATGCTCCCTACTCTACTATTTAGGGGCAGTGGCCTCTAGAGGCAGAGCAATAGTGATAGCAAAAGTTTGTCAACAGATATTATGCCAAGTTCAGATTCTTGAACCATGATTTGTTCAAATGTCTGAACTGCACCTGTGCTTTACTCCACTGATCTGGATAATCAGAAAGCAAAAATACAGAACATACTGTAGTGACATTCATGCAGAAGGCCATTGTAATTGTAACTGTGCTACAGTTCCCTCATTCTATGCCCATTATCAAAGGCTGAATTCTGAAATTGGGCATCAGTGTGACACAAGAGATTGAGGAGGAGGAGAAGTGTCAAATATGGATATCAGCTATCTGACCTTGTACAGACACTTTATCATCCATGCCCATTCTCACCCACAATTAACACCAGATGTAACCTTGATGTTATGCCTTTATAAATTGAAGGAATTTCATTGTTGGTAGAACCTCAGCTCAGGTGGGACCACAGAGGCAGTGCTGGGAGAAATGGATGCAGGAATCCACCTGTGATGGTTTGAAGCTTCCAAGAGCACATTCTCTGTTTTTGTATTTGTTTCTATCTAAATAAATCTCTTTTTCTTCCCTCAGTGGTATGTTCATTGCTTTTCAAATCTAAAAGAATCTCTTGCCCCCTGGCAACACACCATACTGTTCCAAGTAGCCTCAGATATTTGTTCCAGATCACATACTGAAACACCATCACGTCCTAGAGTAGATGTGAACAGGGCAGTATGAATTATTTATAAGTAAAAATGGCCTTTGATAATATCCTCTTTAGAGAAAGGATACACAAGACTTGTTAATCTTCAAGTTGTCCAACTAAGTTGATGCACAATGCAGCAAATACATTAGAAAATGGATACTTACAGCCATAATTAACTCGAAGGGGTGCTTATACACCCTCACAGGGGATTGGTATTTCTGCACCATGGTTGTGAGTGATTAGTACTACACAGATCTGAGGGGGGAAAGAGATTGAAATGGTATCAATCCATGCATGTTACTGTTTCAATTGTAATCACAGGTACTTTACATTTCACTTTGATCACCAGAATTCTATATCCAAATGACACATGGAAGATTTTGAAGAGAATTCAGGGTAGGTGTGATTTATGCTGCCACTATCAGAATAGTTCTTCTGAAAAAGCATTTAAAATGTGTATTTCACAACAGAAGGCTCACTATCATCATGGAACCTGAAGAGCTATATTTGGTCAGGAATTACTATATTTTAAATGTACTTAAAATATGGGATAGCACACCCACAACATATACTCACTTTTCTATTTTAAGCCATACATTTCTGGCTTCCTTTATAACTTCACATTCAGAGAAATGACAAGCAGCAGCACAAGATGCTGTATCTTCAGGTACAACAGGTACTTAACCAGCAGTAGAATATTCAAAGAAATATTTGAATGGCATACCATGAGTTTTAAAAGTTCTAGTCAAGTGTACAGATACACTTGAACACACAATTGAATGCATCTAGGCTAGGCCCCCATTTTACCTGTACATTTCAGTTCCTTGAAATTACGATAGCTGGATTGTTAGTCACTAAATATTAAAACAATTCTACTTAACCAGAATGCTGAATGGGAAAAAGGACATCAGCCTCACTCACACAAGTTATGCCACTTGGCAAGTAATGAGGCAAACTGTGGTCACTTTGGGATAATGAAATCTTCCTTAAATAAACCATGATATACAGGAGCTTTAGGAACCTACACACAGACACTTTGTTTTTTTGTCCCACACTGAGCAAGCAAGCCAAGTTAATTATACTTTCCCATTACACCTGAACTGGGAACTGAGTCTATGGTTGCCAGTTTAAACCATCATTTCATAATCTGGCTTCTTTAGAAGGCATTAACAACATTGTTAAATTTGCTGCTCACATGGAGGGGAAAGTGAAGCAGCTCCATGCAGGAGGGAGACTACCCTTAAAGAACCAGCATGTTTTCCTACTAAAGCTATATAGTGTCAATATATTCCCAGATTCATCAACTTTAATTGAAAAACACAGTAGGTACTTTCTTTTAAAAATGTGATATAGTAGATATTAAATAAAACAAGACTATTAGGAATACTTTTCTTACTGCGTGGATAGTCTACACTGATTTTCATCCCTTTTTAAAAAGACAGCATACAACATTCTAATTTAGAAATTAGAACTTTAAGTCCCATAGAATTTGAAAACATCCAGGATATGATTTTTTATTCCAGTGCTAGGCAAGGCAGTCAGTAATATCTAAGGTGACCTTTTACCAAGTCCCTTTCCTTCAAATGGAAAAGTAGCCTATTTAGGTCATCAGAATGCAAAATTAACTAATTACTTAACTCAGGGCTGGTAACAATCATTTCAATGCACAAATATATTTTAAAGTTACAAAAATACGTAACAGATCAACTATAAAAGCACATTAAAGATTGTTAATATAAATAATTCTAGCCATACATCATGCCTGTGTTTGGTTAATGCAGTTCTTTGGGATTAGCACTAAGGATGTTCTGAATACAAAAGATCATTAACTGCAACCAGGAGACTCAGTATGATACCCTTAAGGGATTTATGGAATTGGACATTCCAATCCAGCTGTACACAACTTCAAGAAGAAATATACACATTCAAGAGATCTTACTTTGTCCTCTTCAAAGAATACCCCAATATTGTGTGCATGGCTAATATGGAACAGCCTTCTAACAAGTACAGTAAAGAGAAATAATCAGGACCATTTTCTGCAGCCACAAGGGAAAAAACATTCACTGTCTCAAATAGCTGCTTCAATAAATTAACTTCAAAATGTCAGAGAGAGTTAACAGGCTCTTCCAGGAATTTTGCTTTGTTTTTTTAACATAACAAGAACTTTGTAAGCAGTGAAGAAGAAAGAATGTTGGAGAAAATTCAAATTCTTTCAGCACAAAAACACAGTGATTTGGGGGTGGGGGGGGTGTCGCCAAGCCACACTATTATTTGATAGTTAAACAGACATCATTTACATTAAAAGAAATATTTAGCAACCCAGTCAAGAGCATTTTCGACGACATTTAAGCAGAATTCTTGCCTGGTCCGTATCAAGCTTAACGTTTACATGGAACTGTTTTCTTTCCTTCCTTGTCACTTCTGTAGCCTGCAAAGCAGTTCAGAGCTGATACTAACAGAGATCTGCTCTTACAACTATTATTATTTTTACAGTGACTAAATTCAGGATTCATTTAGTCTATACCCTTCCATCATAGGGTCTCAAAACCTGCATGGACTGCACATATTTAAACAACTTAACCAATTTTTGTATAATATAGCCCTTTCCATCAACTGAAGCTCAAAAGGCAGGGTGACTTTCTTGAATGGAAGAAAGGGTTTGGGAGTGACAGGGCAGAATCAACAAGGAAAGCAAAAAGTTGCCCCCAAATAAGTAGCACTATCCATCTGCTCTATCGTGGGGTGCGAGAGGAGAAGCTCAGAGTTTTTAACCAGGGAACAACTGTCTTACTGCAGAACAGGAAAAATATGCGAGCAGAAAAACAGCTTAGTGGGCAGAAAGGCAGGGCGGGGGGTGCGAAGGGCAGAACGAGAAGATTTCGAGACAAATGAGGCGCTCACGTACGTGGACTGAGTCGATGTTACCAAACCGCGGACGGGAAGGGGCAGTGGCGAGACCAGTCGTACAACAAAGGGAGGGAAGGCATTTCAGGGCAAGGGTGGGAAGAGAGCAGCAGGGGGAAAGCCAAAAGGCAAGGGCACACGAGCGAAGCAAGGAGGATACTCAGACGAAATGTAGCTCGAGCAAAGGGGCAGAAGGGATGAGTTGCGGGGTGGGGAGGCGGGAGACGAGTTTGGAGGGCTCACCAGTGGGCATGACGTGGCCGAGGATACTAGTCGGAATGGTAGGAGGAAGAACCCAGAAAGCGGGGGGCGGCAGTGGAAAGATTGATGGCGACACACACCCCATTCAGAGAGGCATGAGGCGAGGGAGAGAAGCTACAGAAAGGCTGAGCGATGGGGACGCACCTAGTGTGCCGAAGTTTGAAAAACTTGGAGGAAGGCAGGGAATCTGGGACCGGGGACGTCCCCGGGCGCGTCGCGAAGGGGGCAGAGGAGAGAAGGCGACATAGCAAATAGAGGATGTTGAAGCCATCCCAGCCTCAGCAGAACAGAAGGGCTGAGGCGGGGAGGGGAAGAAAAGCAGAAGATAAGGAGACTTGGGGGAAGGGAGGTAGCAGTGGGACGGAGGGGGAACGCAGGAGAGGAACGAGTGTCACGGAGGGGAGAGGAAACACAGGACGGAGGGGGAGGGGAGGAGAGGCGCACCGTTTGCCCACCTTCTATCGCCAAGGCCCGTTGGTCTCTTGCCTCATGTCGGCTCCTCGTTCAGCTCCTTGTGCCGGCGATGCTGGGGCCCCTCCTTGTGGTGTTGCTGCTGCCCCCGCCGGTTCCGGGGCAGGGGAGGGGAGGGGAAGGGAAGGAATATAGAGCGGCGACCGCCCGGCTTGTTGATAGCCAGTGACAGGCCGGAGGAGGTACCTAGATGCCTGCCAACGCGTGCGCCTGCGCACTACGAGGAACGACAACTCGCCCCCGCTCACAGGAGGAGGGGAAGGCACGTGTGCGCTCCCTCTGCGCATGCTCCTCTAAGACAAGGTTCTGAACTCGCTCGCGCAAACGGGAGACGCAAATGTAAGACCACGTGGCCTGCTCTTATTCCGGGGGTTTCTTCATCATCACCGTATTTGATTCATCGAGCGCGAGTGCACATCCTGTCTTTTAAAGTCGTCCCGCAGTAGTTGCGGGGTGGTAGGGCGGAATGCTCGCGCTGTGGAGAAGCATCCGGGACGCCAGAGGAGTCGGTGCTGGGCTCCTTCAGAAGGAAGGCACGGCAGGCTTGCGGATCAAAATTACCAAAACTGAATTAGTATGAATCGGGTTTCACCAAACTAGAAGGTCTCGTATATCTAAATCGAAGCAAAGTTTGCAAAGCTTGGCCTTACTTTGGGAAGCACACTAACAACCCGATCCTGTTTGGAAAAAAGCCTCCCTATATTTACTGTGGAGTTCAGAGCCCTTCAGTATGCTTACCTGAGAGTAATGCATTCAACTCTGTTGAAAATTAAGTGACTCAAAAGGCACGTGAAATTCTAGTTTAATCTAGCACCTTCGCTGAACAAAGCTGCTTTTCAAGGTTCTAGCCAGACTTGTCCCTTGTTTTGTAGAATCCTTAATTTGGATGGCGAAATTCAGCAAGCTCCCTAGGTAAGGCAGCATTAATGATCGAGAAATGTACATCAATAAAGCCTAAACGTGTACACTATTGTACAAATGTACAATAATAATGCTTTTATTTTAAAAAACCACACAAATTAAATAGGTCTACTCAGAAGTAGGACCCATTGAGTTCAGTAAGGCTTACTCCCAGGAAAGAATGTAAAGCTATGCAGTCACAGGCTGGTGGGCCCACAACTGTTGGGTGGTAGGTCGGTTTCACCACCCATTCCTGCATCCGGGGGTGGGGGGACCGGCTGTTTTGAGTTGCCAAAGCAACCTCCATCCAACAACCCAGACACCTGGGGGGTCTCTGAGGAAGATAAAGTCTGTCTCCTTTATCACTGTCCTGTTGATAGCGCTGGAGCAGCCATCTTTTCTCCATGATCCAGTTGATAAATGGTGCTGCAAGGAAGAGGGTGGGGGCTCTTCTAGACTGGTGGACCACACAGAGAACAGCCTGCAGGCCACGGGGCATGTCCAACTGAACTAAACATGTATGATTAATCAGGTAACATATATGTAATATGATGGTATTGCTAAAATGATAAAGCTGTGGCTCTGTGGGATAATTTCAGGTCCTTTGAGTGTAGTGTAAATGCTCAAATGCCTATATGCAGGGAAGATGAGGTCTCTTCATTGTGCCAACACCCATTCTGTATCTTGGCAACGTAACTAGTCAATTGGTGTGCTTTTAGAGCAGAACGCAGCCTCAAGAACAGCAGGTGCTAGTCAGACACTCTCATCTGAGTTAGTACAAGCTGTCTCCAATGTGAAAAGCATAATCTTTTGCAAATTGATATCAAGCAATATATTCCTACAGCCAGAGTCCAAAAGCACCAAGATGTGACATCCTGTCCAGTGCATCGTGCTATGTATGGTCCACAGCACCTGTCAACATCACTGGAGCTTCTGTGCTTGAATTGATTCTGCCACTGTAAATGTTTGGAAACACTTTAACATGACAGTTGCCATGGTAATGTAGGAGGCATATATACTTCTTTTGATTTGTTTAGAAATTCCTATGTTTCAACATTGAGATTGACCTCAAATGATTATAAAAATGGTAGATCAGTTTCCATGCGTTACAAGAGCAGAGACCAACCTTCTCACCAGGTATGCAGCAAGTCGAAACCAAAGTATGAGAGAGTGAACCTTTTCAGATGTAAGATGATCCATTTTCTTTTTCCTTTCTCCTCCTCCCGTTTAAAAGCTTCTGATTGCAGTTAGCGACCAAACAACCAGACGTGTTTGTTTCATTTGATCCCAGGACCGGTTTTGATGCAGGGTTGGAATACTAGTTTCTGGCCAAACCACGGCTTTTGCTAGCCATAAGTAGTTTGCTGGGTTTAGATGATCAGAAGCCTTTCATCTTTAATGAGGAAGAGAGGAGAAACTGCAAGTCTGAGGCACGTGCCTGCTCATTTCTGTAATGCTCAACCATGATGTGAGAGACAGTCCTATGGCCTCCGGCTTCTGTGTTTGGAGTCCTGGCTTCGAGTTCTCAAGCAGGGCTCTAAAGGCTGAGCCCTTGCCCTGCCCCTTGCAGCCAATGCAGAGAGAACCGTGCCAGCTGCCTCTTAGCAGCTACAATCTGGCCACAGAGGAGAGGAGAAGGAGTGGGCCAGTTTGGGGAGGGCATGGAAGGAGGCTGGGGCTGGCAGCTTACAAAGTATCCAGGCACTGCCCCAGCCTCCTTCCTTTCTGGTTGGCACTTCTTTGAATTGATGGCCAAACACTGCTACAGAAAGATTATCACTGAGCTTCACTGCATTCATTTGGGAGCACATGAGCATCTGAGTTTGGAGGTGTCTATGCATCAAGTGTGGATTGGATTGCACCCTTAGTGTTATACCTGAATAGCTGGGCATGTCGTGAGTGAAGCCGGCTGGAGCCAGGGGTCAGACTAGATGGCCTGGGAGGCCCCTTCTGACTTGCTCTGTTTCTATGTTTCTAACTCCAGAATCATTTTACTGTGAATTTCCATATACATGCAGACTCTGTGCCTTCCAGGTTACTAAGCTGAGGAGCAGGTAGCAGCATGCAGGGCCTGAAGAAGAGGCAGGGGTGTAGGCAGGCACTCTATGATGTCACCAGGTTCACAGATCCTTCTTCTCCTAAACTTAACCCTTTCTAGGCATGTCACACTTTTCCATTGCCTGTGCCTTGTGTGACAAGCATCACAGAGACTTGCCACGCATACAGATGCAGTCATTCTGCAAACCATGCAAGGTTATGTCCCTTACCATGAGCTGTGCTGCAACTAAGATTGAATCACATTACATTCATTTGCTGCTGCATCTGCTTCAAAGATGAAGGAAGGCAGGGCATCTATGTAATCACAACAATCCTTTGTACTGATACATTACTTTTCAGTCCTCTGAATGCAACACATGTAGCATTGTCGTATGAATTTATTTAATTCTATTTATTCTATGCCGCCTCACATGCAATTGCACACCAGGAGTCAGTGTTCATCCCTAGAGCACATGAATGTGCACTATGCCATTGTATTGCCACCAAAGAGCAGGGATGAGGACACAGAGCTTTCAGGGAAGTTTAAGCCCCAGCATGTCCAATTTTAGAAACAGAGCATTTCATGCTGCCTGCTGCAGTTTCTCCACTCTGTTGCTGGCGCAGGATGTCCCCTCGGTCCAGAGCTTCAGGGGCTAAGGCTATCAGTGTCCTCAGTAGGCACACCCGCAATAGCTTTGACCTGTGCATGTGCTCTCAGCACCCTCTGAACAGTTAAAGCTTCTAGTCCTTCTAGAATGGCTTAATCATGTTCCAAATCATAACCCTTCACCAGGTGAGTTCCTTTCTGTGTTATCACAGGGCGGGGAGGTATTTTGTTTGTGCTACACCCTATAAGGACACATTCGCTGGGTCAGTTGTGTCACCATGCACCGCTTTATAGCCCAAGTAGTCATGCACACAGATATATACACAGAGAGAATGTCTCCTAAGCAGTGCTTTCTGCAGCTTTCTGTGAGGAAATGCTTGTCTATTTGGACCCTCCTTTTAAAAGTTTTTTGTCATAGGCCACAGTATCCATGGCTTTTCAGAGGACTCTGGGGTGTCTTCTGGAGGTACATTCATTTTTGCAGTGAACCCAACAACTGACTGCCTTTGCTATTTGAAGGGAAAGATTGAAAGTGTTGTTCGACAAGCTGTCATTCAGGCAAGTCCTTCTCCATCTCCAACTGATCTTGCAATTAAGTTACTCAGGATAAGCTGCGGATCAATTCCAGTTTTCCTAGGAATACAGTTCCTAGGAATGCACAGTGCTCTGTTGTTAGCGCCAGTATGTACCTATTTGCACAAGAAACCAAATGTAAACCATTTCTGTGATTTGACACAAACTATTGCTATTGAGGTGAATTGGCATTTAAGTGAAGGCACAAGTGAATTCGTCCCTCACATGAGTAATGTCTACAACCTGACAGTAGACATTTTATGAAGTTACATCACTTAATCTTTTTCGAATAAAATTTGATAATTACGTATGGAAGGCAATATAATGATTCAAGCCATAATGCATACATATATTTTTGTATACAATTAACAGTGGTTTTATTTTATTTACCTCAGGAAAGCACAATTATTTGCTTGATCCACTTACATTATTCTTAACTGAAGGTGTCAAGTCCAAAAGCTGTTTAGGAAGGCCTCACCAGTAATGGTGGGGGGCGGGGGGCTATAAATACATGTATGTATGTATGTATGTAAGTATAAATAAAGGTCAGTTCAAGAATGGAAAGACAGGAAGAATCTGAAAAGGAACGTATCTCTCTACAGCACTGTACAATGTTTCCATTTTTAATAGCATGAAATATACAGGTAGAATTCATAACAATGTTTAATCCTTCCCCATCATCACCACAGATTCTGCAGAAAAGAAACTTCTAGATTTCTCAAGTATTTAAGGTGTTTCGAACAATCTTTACTGGCCACCTAATCAATGTACTTTTTGAAAATCTCACAGAGTATTTTACAAAAAGATGCTGAGATTAAGCAACTGTATTTTGCAACAAGAATGCTAATTAAGTAGTCATTTCCTGTAAACAGGGAAAAGCTTCCAGAAATAGGCTCTTTTCCAAATCACCCATTTTTGCATAGGTATGCGTACAACAGACTTGCACCATACTGTGAAGTATTGTTATGGATTTCCTATCAGGCTCCTGTGAGTAAACTTGGTTTGCTGCCTGCCCCCACCCCCCACCAATAGCCCAAAATACTCAGACAATATGTTGGCATGGAAACT